AAAAAAATAAATAAATAAATCAAAACCGAATCGAAGAAACAACATCATAATGACATAGATCTATTCTGTTTTCGCCCTTTTCCCTCTTCCCTATCACGCCTCTCATCCATTTCCCCCACTCAACCCCTCCACTTTTTGGGTTCCTAGTACCGCTCTGACCCTCCCCCTTTCTACTACGGGCAAGAATATGACCTTGAGGGGAAACCCTTCCTGAACAAGTCCCTACCTTGGGAGGCCAGTGCTCATCCGTAAGTAAAATGGTGTGTGTGTGTGTGTGTGTGTGTGTGTGTGTGTGTGTGTGCGTGTGTGTGTGTGTGTGTGTGTGTGTTGTGTGTGTGTGTGCGCGTGTGTGTTTGTGTAGGAGAGGGGAGGGAAGGGGTGGTGTCTCTTCTAGAGGGGGGTGGCAAAGAGTGGGGGAAGCGGGGGGAGCGGAATGCCAAAAGTGAAAATAATAGAGAAGTGGGGAAAGGGTAGAGTGACAGGGCTCGAAAAAAGCTGTGAGAGAGAGAGACAGACAGACAGACAGACGACAGACAGACGACAGACAGACAGACAGACAGACAGACAGACAGACAGACAGACAGACAGACAGACATTATATTGATACGAAGAAACACGGAGGAAAGTTGCGCTACATTCATACCCCTAACCACCCCTGTCCCACCACACAGGAGCAGCCGGTTCGAACCTCGTCCCTCGCGACGACGCCACGTCCTAGGACCCCCGGACCAGTGGCCTGCTGTACCCAATTAACAGCACGGACATACTAGCTCTACATGTATATCAAAGATTCTCCACTTCACGGTCTTTGCTACTACTACGTATCTCAGCCTTGTTTAGCTCACCGTGTCTAAGTTCTAAAGTGTCTACACCTGCTGTTCGGCGTTTGGCGCCATTATTACCTTCCCGAAGAAGACTAACCAAGCATAGGCCCACGCAAGCACACCACTGCATGTACTTATAACGGATTTCTCAGCAGTTTATCATTAAAATTTCTGTTATCCTTTAGAGCTAGAATGGCGTTCGACGAGTTGTTTATTTTTTCGGTTTCTCATTTTGTTTGCTTTTTGTTGCTGTTTTGGGTTGTTGTTGTTGTTGCTGCTGTTGTTATTGTAGTTGTTGTTGTTGTTGTTTTTTACTACCTGTATTGCTAGAACTGCATTCAACATATTGCTACATTAGAATTACAAAGTTCTAACTTACATTTTTGGCCGTTTTGAGTTACTTAGACCATGATGTCAGGGATCTGCTTTAATGAAAATCGTAAGATTATTAGGAGACGAAAAAACTTGGCATGTTGTGAAACTCAATTTTTTTTAACGTTAAATTTATCAAAACTAGGCACTGAGCAAATAGAACTTCGTAATTCTAGGGTAAAGTTTAGAAGTTACAGACGTACACAAGTTCATAAAACACCTCCCCCCCC